GTTAAATATGAATAAAAACGGCGACACGGTGTTTCTTTTCACGTGCCGACCGGCCACTGAAACGCCGGTAATACCGTTAACGGTAATTTTTCTAACAGTGTGTCTACGAGCAGATCTTCGACGAAGTTTACAGCATCGGCGAGAGGTTTTCACAACTTTTTCAATCAAACCCTTAAATTCCATGAATTTTTATTGTATTTTTCAACGGAAAACTGCTGCAATTACAAATTTTAACTCACCAAAAACGATAGAGTACTCTCTATTTCCACCTCTCTTGTTGTCGTTATTTCCACTTTATCGGCACTGCCGAAAACGTTCGGAAACCCTTTCATGCGCGAACAAGTGTTTTTACATCAACCGGATTCTTGTTCACGAACACGAAGGTACGAAGCAGCATGTAATACCACATTCGTACCCAATGTAAACACATGTGCTACGAAGCAGCATGTCATGCTGCACGCTATAGGAGGTGGCGTGCCGCAGTAGGTACGAAATGCTGCACGCAAAGGGGCATGCAGCATGCAGCAGCCGCCACCTCAAGAACAAGGACGACTCTGTCTCGGTCCCATCAAGAGCTCCCAGTCTTCGCACCGACACTCACGCCATGCAAACAAATAATAAAGAGTGCCTCCAATGTGTCACTTTCTTCAAGACTGTGGCATGCAGCGCATCACGGAATCTGCCCGCTGAGAATGCGCTTTATTTTGATCCGGTGAGGCAGGGATAGCTTGGGATCGTCAGGAGGTTATGGGATTTTCACATTTCTTTCAAAAACTTTATACCGACTATGATAGAGTAAGAGTAGTGACCCCATATTCTTTTACCCGTTTCCCATGTATAATTCGCTCCAGATCACTCAGATGGGTATTGTGGGCTAAGGAAACTACATCTCAGTGATACAGTGCAAAAATTAATGACCTCACATATTTTATTTATGTTTAAAAATGGAAGCCACCTTTTTGTATATATATTTATACATAAAATCGCTTACAATTTTTTTTACTGCAATCGGTTTTCTTGTTTTACGCTCACCTCCCTTGGTGCGTATAGAGTTAATTGACTTCTTGTTTATGGAGCTGATAGGATGGGACCAATAGAGCTAAGAGGACCCAACTCATATAGGTACGTAGGAGTAAACTATACCTTATGAAAGACTAGCATGTTGGCCAGTGTTACCCAGGTTGAGATGTGATTTCACATCCTAAATACTGTTAACTGTAATAAATGTAATTTATGATAAATAGAGAATGACCAGTTTAAACAACATTTTACATGGAAAATGTTAGTTTTTCGCTTTTCTATCATAATGTAATAATACAGTGATATACAATCATCGATATCACATCAAAAGTGAAGGCAAAAACAATTGATATTTGATTTTATGGCTGCACGATAATCGTTGTTCCAATTATCTAATAGGAGGCATCACGATAACAAAGTGCTACATCTGATTCAACTTTTAAGATATTAAGAAACAGGAACAGTCCGAGCGTCTCGTGGTTATGTATACTATCTCCAGCTTACTAGCTTCATTCATCGGAAACAAAACTAAAATTTTAACATATTTGGCGTTACTTCTTAGTACTTAGTAATTATACAATTTTTTTCAAAACAAAATTCTATTTGTGAAACGTATTATACGGAAATATCCAAGCTGCATCCCTCGAATCATAGTGAAAACATTCAATTAGTTAGTGGTATATGAGCTTCATTCGTTCTAAGCGGAGTACACTTTCAAGGGACCCTCTGAAAATCCTGTGGCATGATTCGTCCAAACTGACGATCATCCACACCTATGGCAGAGACACGAGCGTCCGCGGCTACTTCAGGAATTTGAAGCGGTCTGCTCATGAGTCCGCATCTCATATAAAATAATACAACACATACAGACACTTTATCCGCTCACCATACTAATTACTGGCTGCATTTCGTGCCTAGATTAGAAATCAATCACACGCGGAACTGGTCAGTGAACACACAATCAAATACGATAGACACGATTTCGATTTTATCCGAGTCCCAGGTAGGCAGGTACCGAAAAACATGAAAGCCTATATAGGTGGAATTGGCGAGCTCGAGTGCGACTTGCACGTCAATGGTAAGAAAATGTCAGGAAACTGGTAACAGCAAGATGAAAGAAACAGCAAGTTGAAAGAAACAGCAAGAAGACAGCAAGAAAGAAATAGCAATAAAGTATGTACTGCAAGCAAGGGCGTCGGTATATCGGCAACCGCTGCCACCAAGCATGAGTATGCCGACCGCGGCTACGGAGGAGCGCAACCACAGGCACGATGTCGTCGTGCTGCTGTGCGTTCCTTGATTTGCTTCTTCTGTGGATTTTTCACGCTCTTCCTGTTTCTTTTTTTTGCACTAGACAAGCGCACTGGCAGATTGGATACTGACGAGCACACTTGCTCTCAATCACCATACCAGCGTAACAGACTGTCGCGTGGCTCCATCACCGCGATGCATCGTCAAGTGACACTCTTTACGAGACGACTAAACAGACCACGTTCATATTTACTACAATATTTACTTCTTCATATCGATAATGCTTCGTTTGCAACCCTATTTTCGAACTTTAATAAGTTTTTTTACTCATCTTGCTCTCAAAAGCACATAGTAAATCGAGGTCATGACAATGTAACTTGGTACTTTGGTAAAAACAATATGAAAAATCCAGGAGGGAGTCTGAAAAATTCGGTGAGAGCCTCACGATGTTAGATTACACACGACAAGCTGACTCGGGTGGCAATGATAATTGCTGCACATTAATTGCGACCAAAAAATTCTTGATTGCAAATGATTGCCTTCATCTGATCTACCAGTTTCCATGATTCAGCAAAGCATCACATATCTATGTACCAACCGTGTACATTATGCGTGTTAACAATGTACATCAATATGGATGTCAACAATGTACACGGCCGTATGTGTGCCTTCAATGTATGTCAACAATTATATACCTCAATATGCATGTCAAAATTGTACATTATTTTGGTACATGCCACACGACGCTCTCAAATCCAACAATGTTGCTACATTCTTATGGAGTGAGATGTTGCCGCCATGTTGGTGTGAGTGAGATGTTGCCGCCATGTTGGTGTGAGTGAGATGTTGCCGCCATGTTGGTGTGAGTGAGATGTTGCCGCCATGTTGGTGGGAGTGAGATGTTGCCTTCAAAAACTCAGTTCAAAAAAATCGAGTAACTGGACCTGTTAAGTGTATAAAAAATATCAAAAAGGATAAAACTTGGTCCCGGGGAGAATGTTGCTCACGAGGTGCCAATAACTCTGCAGCGCGGGAGACGCGAGAGGTGCAGGGAGCGAACAAACAACCTCGTGTTTAGGCAAGCAGATACAGCGGCCATATTAATCTATTGACAAATACAACGTGCGGACGCCTTACATCAAACATGGAGCCGCAGCACCATTAATTGTGCGGACGCCTTACATCAAACATGGAGCCACATCACCATTAATTGTCCGGACGCCTTACATCAAACATGGAGCCACAGCACCATTAATTGTGCGTACGCCTTACATCAAGCATGGAGCCACATCACCTTTAATTGTGCGGACGCCTTACATCAAACATGGAGCCACATCACCATTAATTGTGCGGACGCCTTACATCAAACATGGAACCACATCACCTTTAATTGTGCGGACGCCTTACATCAAACATGGAGCCACATCACCATTAATTGTGCGTACGCCTTACATCAAACATGGAACCACATCACCATTAATTGTGCGTACGCCTTACATCAAGCATGGAGCCACATCAGCATTAATTGTGCGGACGCCTTACATCAAACATGGAGCCACAGAACATCAAACGTGCAGACGCCTCACATCAAACATGGAGCGGCAGCACATCAAATGTAATGGCGCTGATAACGTTGGTATCCAAGATACTTGACTGAAATTGACTCACTGAACACTTGTAGCAACGCATGTGAAGTGTATTGGGATGTTCGTATTTAAGACTATCGACTTTTGGGGACACTCGAAGTCTCGAAGCAACAATAAAATCCCTGTATTTACTGGTAGCAGTGATAAGTACAATTATTTTGTAATACAATATTGTACTATCCTCATAGAACCCCACAGCATCCACAGTTTTGAGCCGCAATAAATTAGGCGCGTGGACAAGGCCGTGCCCAAAATAGAAGTCAAAGTGTCACCTTAAGTCGTACGATAACTAATTCAAAGTTGGATCTGACTAATTCATTAATTGGATGAATTTAGCACACAAAATATTCAACTTGTACAAATTAAGTTTGATACACATTGACAAGGCACAGTAACGTAAATCAAAATATTGACAATAAATTATATATTTGGTATAATATTTGGTATATTATATTTGGTATAATGGTATTTATATTAAATGTTCTCAGTGAACGAAACTTGACACAGGTCAAACAAGAGGCGAGTATACAGGGTACACGAGTTCACTTAGTCGGCTTGGGCAGTGGTTGACTGATACTTTCTCCTTCATCAACTATCTACAATAGAATCGAAGGATATTGTTTGGTAATTCAAAGTCAGAATAGAAACTTAACAAATTAAAATACGGATTATACAGTGGAAACGTTTCATGTCATGAAAAGCATTAATGAAAAATGAAGCAATAAAATGCTTTTGTTACGTCATCACATCCACGTACTCGTACAGCGACTTACTGGTGAGTAATATATATATACATCAGATATTGGAACACTTACGCACACAACAAATATTTGATATAGGAGAAACTTGGAGATAAGATAAAGGAGGCTGATAAGCCATAAATGCTGCGAAGCGTTACAGAGAACATCTGAGTAACTTTCCTAAAGCACACATTCTTAAATCGGGCCTGTAGCGATTAGTGAGTGGTCGCATTAGTATGAACGTCACCGGCACATGCAAGTGCCTAACCTTCTTACTACGCGGCACTGAAGTGAACGTAAATGTAAGGAAATACCAACAACAAATCAATTCAGCATTACTCACCTTCATTTGGCACTCGCGGCTCAATCCATATGAGGGTCCGTGGTAAGCCATCATGAGAATTTAATAATATTTTGCTTATAAATCTAATAAATAAAATTATTCCTGAGATTCCAAACTACTATTTGAGCAACACCGTGAGTGACCTTGAATGGTGAATCTACCACTCCTAGAAGAAGGAAAGAAAACGAATGTTAAATAGTGGCAATTTTAAATCAAAATAAACTAGTATGGTAACAAGATGGTTCTATAGTTGTCGCTGCTTCGGCAAGATGCCGAGAGTTCCATGAGGCGTCGGGAGCCACGCCAAGCCTGACCACACCTGAACACAGCACACAACGTACTACGAATACGACGAGTCGATGACTACCTCAGCCTGACTCCGGAACAGACAAGTGTGACGGGCAGCACCCACAGTTCGTTCTCACTTTTAAATCTCACACGTACATGTAATACTAATGGCAAAACATATGATTAATGTAAGTTGAATATTCCTGGACGAATTCTAGTCTAGCATAATTGAAACTTAACGTGTACATCAATATGTACATGTTAACAGGTACATAACGCCATTTGAATCAACAGGGAGTAATTAGAAGTCTACGAAGAGGCTCGCTTGACGAGCTATTCTCACATTGTGAAGGTTTTAATGAAAGCTAATTTACCACAATACGCACATCTAATTTCTGCTGGGGTCAAATTATGGAAGGTAATGATTACGGCGTGGTCAAAGCATCTTCAATCAACACATTTTCAAACCAAACAAAGCTACAGAATTATCAGCACCAGCACTGAGATATGATAATGAGCATGTAGTGACTTCAATTCGGATACCGTCTCCACGTACGCACGATGAGCCACGACCATAGCCCATAAGTACCAGCGCTCTCAAGTCGTGATTATCAGCTCTAACAGCGAGCAATTTCACTCAATCTGGAGTGAAGGAAAATACAAATCATGGTGATGAATTAAGTAAACTAAATGAAATAACACCGGCTGAACTCAAGTTGCTTGCAGCTGGTACAAGTAGCTGCAGCAGGTGCTGACAGTTGCAGCTGATGAAGGCAGTTACAGTTGGTGTAAATAGGTCCAGCAGATGCAGACACTTGCTTTTGATGCAAGCAGCGGCAGTTGGTACAGAATGTCATCAGTTGCTTCTGGATCATGCAGTTGCAACTCGGGCATGCAGTTGCAATTGGTACAGGTGTTTTAGATGAAGGTTGCAGATGGTGAACAGGAAATGGGCATACGCCTTGACCCTCTCCTTCCTACCAGTTGGCTTGCTGTGGTGGTGACGAGACAGGTGGTGACGAGACAGGTGGTGACGAGACACAGGTGGTGACGAGACAGGTGGTGACGGAAGACAGGTGGTGACGGAAGACAGGTGGTGACGGAAGACAGGTGGTGACGGAAGACAGGTGGTGACGAGACAGGTGGCGACGAGACAGGTGGTGACGAGACAGGTGGTAACGAGACAGGTGGCGACGAGACAGGTGGCGACGAGACACAGGTGATGACGAGACACAGGTGGTGACGAAAGACATGTGGTGACGAGAGACAGGTGGTGACGAGAGACAGGTGGTGACGAGAGACAGGTGGTGACGAGAGACAGGTGGTGACGAGACAGGTGGTAACGAGACAGGTGGTGACGAGACAGGTGGTGACGAGACACAGGTGGTGACGAGACACAGGTGGTGACGAAAGACATGTGGTGACGAGAGACAGGTGGTGACGAGACAGGTGGTGATGAGACAGGTGGTGACGAGACAGGTGGTGACGAGACAGGTGGTGACGAGACAGGTGGTGACGAGACAGGTGGTGACGAGACAGGTGGTGACGAGACAGGTGGTGACGGAAGACAGGTGGTGACGGAAGACAGGAGGTGATAAGACAGGAGGTGATATGATAGGAGGTGATAAGACAGACGGTGATAAGACAGGTGGTGATAAGATAGGTGATGACGAGACAGGTGATAAGACAGGAGGTGATAAGACAGGAGGTGATAAGACATGAGGTGATAAGACAGGTGGTGATGAGACAGGTGGTGATAAGACAGGTGGTGACGAGAGACAGGTGGTGACGAGAGACAGGTGGTGACGAGAGACAGGTGGTGACGAGAGACAGGTGGTGACGAGAGACAGGTGGTGACGAGAGACATGTGGTGACGAGACAGGTGGTGACTAGACAGGAGGCAACAAGGCACTGGTAACGAGACGTCGACGTCGTGCAACCCAGTTTACCACTTGAGCTCTGCGCGAGAACCATCTAGAGTTCTAGACGTTTGGCACCCAGTTTATCTCAACTTGAGCTCTGCGCTAGAACCATCTAGACTTTTGCCACCCAGTTTACCTCAATTTGAGCTCTGCGCTAGAACCATCTAGACGTTTGGCACCCAGTTTATCTCAACTTGAATCTGCTCTAGAACCATCTAGAGGTCGTGCATTATCTGTTAGGAAGCTGCAAGAATCGATAGAGGTCAACTATGTATGGCAACCCATACATAGCGCTTGCTTTTCATTCATGAAACCTGGAGATTTCAAATTTAATTCATGCAGTGAGAATTCATCAACCAATTACGTGTCGTGCCCGCGTAGACCAGGATGTCAATCGTTCACCTGACAGGCTGACACAACTGATTTCATATCTGTAATGAGATCATTACGACATAATAGCCATAAGGTTTGCGCTCCCGGTACCTGCACACGTACGTAACTTCATCTCTGCATTTATGTGTTAAATTTATAATCTTGCTGTACTACTACACGTGGTAAAGTTGCGGAAATATAGATGGATTTCAAAATCTTCTTTGAATAATATATTTGTATGCATTTAATTTCCGGAGTTCTTGGAATTTAAGTAAACGGCTCGCTGACGACATGTAAGCCTGGGCAGATTAGGCCCGTTTATTCATTTCGCTTATCCTAGGCTATAATCCACCAAAATAATCCGACAAATGAAAGAATTTGACTGTTATATCCATTGATTTAAAACGTTATTCATATTAAATAGGTCGATGGAGATTTACATGTAACATTGATGGCACACTTGAACATTGCAAACTGAAAATTTACGAAGCTCTGCAGACTAACGCGACTGCCGTAGTTAGGTCCAGACGAAGTCAGGTAGGAAATAATCCAACTCGATCGCCTTCTTGACTAAAATATCGGCGCAGTCAGGTACGGCACTAGGTTTTTGGGACAGGGGTGGCTAGCTTTCAGGTTTGGCAAAGCCTTCTAAGATATATTTTAATGCTGAATTTAATATTATTATTATGGGTGCATGAGAATATTTTAGGGGGCTAAAGCCCCTCTAAAAATAGACCTTATGACGCCACTGGGAGTAATCTGTATTTTGTTCAGAACTTGCGTTACTTGGCTTGAAGACTGCCTTAATATCATGAATACAATTCATTCCCAGCTCACGCCTTGTATTAACACGTATATTTTCCCATTCGGACTTCCAAACAAACATTTCTCATACATTCTATTTACGTTTGTCGAACGTCTGTCACTTATTTTCTACCCTTTCTTTACTTATACCACAAAATTGTATCAACATTTCTCACACATCTGTAATAGCCTAATGGTTCAATACTTTAACAATGCATCTCCATAAGATTTTAATAAACTTTCCACTAAATTTTAAAATAATCGCCTTGCACAGCGTTCCTTCCATCTCCAAATATTCATGAAACAATGTCCCCAACTTATCAAAACTATCTAGATCTAATTTAGCAATGCATCGGATCTTGTTAAGAATAGCAATTCACTTGTGCATTTGGCAATGCACCCCATACATTACTGGGGAACGTAGTTTTTTTAATAAGAACATTACTAAGGTGCGGGATTAACCAAGTGATTCTCCAAAGGTTTATACTGGGGCGCGTTTCTTTAACAAGGATATACTGGATTGCTTATTCTTAATAAGATCCAATGCATCATCCAGGAATCCAGGTAATGAAATTAAAATATATTTTTCATGAACTATCTATTTATTCCGCATACATTTTCCACTTATTGAAAAGCCTTTAATCATAATTCGAACCAGTTATCTGTCTCTTGGATCGCTTCAAACTCTTTATCTAATCAACTAAAAATTACTAAATGCATATTTTTATTGGTGTCAAACGTACACATGTCATGCATATTCAACATATCTCTTACCTGACATTTTTTCAAAGAAAACATTTTTGCTCATCTTGGAACCAGCCTTCTGAAGCTAGCTTAGTAAACTCACCCTCTAAATATTTGGGTAAATTTCAATTTGGTTATCCGAGCGCAATAGCATAATACCCATTATGTAGGGAAACAAGCATACGAGCCCGGCGTTGCACTGAAAATATAATCTATGAGACTAGAAAATTCCTTCAATTTTCTAACTCAAGTATTTAGGATAAGTGTCGTATATGGACAAAGCAAGCCAAACACACATACAAACTTCTACAAATAAATGTTAGGTAAACAAGATTTGAAACTTTAGATTAGGACGGTCTATACTATTAAGTTTTCATATTCCATTGGCGCCTCAGGACATAATGTTATATGGATCAAACGTTGTGCCGCCCCCGCATAAACCTAAGTGAGCCGCTGCGCGGAGAATTTTTCAATGTTACAAGTGCATACGGGCCGGAGTACGAGGCGACTAATTCGGCGACTGTACGCTGATTCAAAATTCGACAGTCGTTAATTGTTCGATAAACTTTGGATAGCATATCTCATGGTTCAATATAACACAAAAAGCCATAGAATTCGATAATCATGGACATGATGCTTTAAGCTGAATATGTACAAATTGAAAAATCTCAGAAAAAATTTTAGACAGCGACTCAAAAACTTAGTTTGGACCCAGTTTCTGAGAGATTAGGTTAGCCATTGGAGGCACATCGAAGAAGTTATATCGCCCATCAGAACGTAAATGGAGAGAGAAAATAATTATGAAAATTACTTAAGCTGAATATGAGATATTGATTTGTAAAAAAATCAAAACAAAAGTTGGGAAATAACCTCGGTGGCTACTTAGGTAACGAAAACATAAAATCGAAATAATTCAAAATCAAGGCTTTTATAACTCAAATTTGTTAAAATTCGAAGAGTTTAGACAAGGAATTTTTCACTTGAGTGTTATTTGTTACTGCGAAATTATGGCTAATCTTATGAATTGTATTAATATATCTTAGTGAATTGACATAGGGAGAATTGGACATGGTTAGTGTCGGCTGTCGGGATTCAGCTCGAACATGAAATTTCTTTCAAACTCTTTATACCTAAAGAAACTCAGATTATATGATAAGTACGAGAAGATGTACATAGATGACGCGCAGGTTTAATATTTGAACTTCACTTCATTTAAAATATTTATTTTCTGCTATTTCTGAGCCTTTTTCAGATACATGTTTACGTTCATCCGCCCAACGTCGTGCATCTGGCAGGTTTGATTTGATAGTGCTGCCATCTATAAACAAAAGTCATACGTTCGAAATTATTAATAAAACCAACTATTCATTAGTCAAGTGAGTCTGTAGTTCTTAATGAAATATAATACTTCTAGTTAATTACATTTGCTTTTCATTTGTTGAATTTGCAATCTAGTAAAGTAGAATTATTAATAAGTTTTCGAAACCTTGTTTAGTTATGAAGCCTCGGGGCATAATTTTCTTGGATAGGTTTATTCACGCAGTGCCTTGTTATCCATTGTGAATATAGGACTACCGAAGTCATCTTGCATACAAATTTTAAGATGGCCAAAAAGAAATCAGGTAATTTACTCTAGTGTTGTCTTTTTATGTGTGAATAATATCCAAAGATTGTGTCTTATAATAATAGTTTCAAATTAAATGGAATAATTTTCTCTAATTAATTTATATTTAGAAATTTCTCATTTTTTCACTGTCAAATTTTGTCCATAAATGTTTGCTCATGAACAAAATATTTGAGAACTCGATACGAGTTTGATCTGTTGAATCAAGCAACCAGAGGGCAGGGGCTGGAAGCCTGGAAAAAGATGCAATTTTTTTAATATGTGTGTGTTTTTTTTGCAAGCATTAAAAAATTTAAAAATCATTGTAAAGAGTTTCATTCATAATAGCTAGTAATCAAGAAACGCAAATGAGGTTATTATACAAAATGCAAGATTGATTTAAATATTAAACATATACAAATTATACATTTTTAAACTATGAAGTTTCAAGAAGGCAGAAGCATTTCTTTTCTGTATTTAACATACCTATTATGACACTTGAATTATCATCATCCACTATCCAGATTATAATAAACCATATTCTTATTTGAATAAAAATTTTAGTTGAGTAATTTTTTTTTGTATTTGTGAATTGTGATCAATAACTGATCATGCTTACAATTTTTCATGATGACATCTTTTATAAACTAATGAAAGCCTAATTTGATTTTGAAGATCAGGCAAAATCCACCCTAGATCTAGAATGTGACAAAAATACCTATGATCAATTGCTCATAGTTAATTTTACTTATTCCAATGGCTCTTGACTGATTTATTTAGTAAAAAATGAGAAAAATGACACATCCTGGCCTTGCCTAATTTTTTAAAATCATTGCCCAATGATTTTTTACACTTTCAGTTTTGGAAATTTTTTCTAACTTATACTTGCATAAAGGCAAATATTAAATATGTATACTCTCTCAGTTTCTGCACTACAACTGGATTTTTATAGCTTTTAGTTTAAGAACCCTTCTGCCCTGAAATAAATTCATGAACTGTGAGTATATAAAAGAAATTAAACAAACCACTAATTTGGGAAGTTGCTGGTTTCACTTCAAATCTTTGATTTTACCAAAGATTCATTATTCATTAAACAAATAGCCCATGCCCTAGCCCCTAGCAATGCAGAAGAAAAGACTGCTTCTGTTATATGATTATTATGGAATCAAATTATGCAATTATGCAACTTGCAATTAGACATTTTTTAAAATCTAATGGTTAAATGAATGTTGATGAATATTAATGTGAAAGTTAATTTATGTATATACATATAATTGTAAAATAAGATATGTTCCAGTTTAGAAGCATAAATTGTAGTCTTAATATGATTGCTTAGGCTGAGTACCGTAAAATGGGGTAACTTAGACCGGCGGGGTTAACTAGAAGAGTTCTACTACAATGCACCAAAACCTGGAGTTATTTGGAGTTATTTTACTAAAAAATTTAATTGATTTTACCACCCGGTCTAAGTTACCCCAAGAGCTGGGGTAACAAAGACCACCACTTTTTTTGAAATTACATAAAGACTATGAGAGGCAGGAGCCAGCAATTTATTGTGAGTGAAGCTAGAGTATAGACCTGTATTTAGCATGTTTCAATTCAAGTTTAATTTAGCTAGTAAAAAAATGGCATCAATTATTAAAATAAAAGTGGTCTAAGTTACCCCATTTTACGGTACAGAGCTACCATCAAGTGGGCAGAAGCATAAGGGATGGTTTGAGCAATTTTTGTTAATAACTTCTTACCATGAAACATTTCATAAACAAGTTTGAGCTCATTTTAAAGGTCTTTGCAAGGGCTATGAAATGGCATCTTAAAAAAAATTCCATACCATCAACCAGGGCTACTCGGGATGGGCTGGGTAACTTGGGACAGTTGTCCAACACGGCGTAAAACTGTTTTAGTAGCATAACTAATTGGTATATTGCAAAACTAAATATAGTGGCATAAACGTCAACATTTTTCCTATCTATGTAGTATAAAGAAAGTTCGAAAATACTACATTTACTGGCTTTGAAAAATTCCTGAAAAAAATGGTGAAAAACGATATTTTGAAAAGTTACTTCTGCTAAGGTCTGTAGTAAAAAAAATATTTGTCATATTAAAAATTTTGCTTAGAAAAAAGTGGCAGACAAGTGTCAGCATGAAAACTTTATATGCGGAATTTGCATACCTCAATCCCCCCCAAAAAATGGCAGCCATTTCTGCATGGCCGGGCTACTCAGGACACTCCCACGGGGCTACTCGGGACACCCCCAAAAATGCATTTACAGTAGAACCTCAGTCAGCAAAGGCTCCAGTTAAGAAAAAAAATTGATTAAAAACAAAGAATATTGATTACATTTACCTCGCTTAGCGAAAAAATTTCACTTATCGAAAAATTAGTGCATCATCGGTCATCACAAAATTGTGCATAGAATGTCATATATAGAAAGCTGCACCAGGCATCATAGAATGAAAAGTAATTGACCTAAACTATGATTTATTTCTCCAAAACATATGTTGGTTGTCACTGAAACATTCCTTTCTGTTTCAGGTATGTTTTTCACGTTTTTTTATAGTAAATTCACTTAACCCAATTAAAATGGTGTGAAATTACAAGCCGTCCTGTAAGCTTACAGATACAGAAAAAAAACTATAAGGCTGCTGATATGAACCTTGTAGTGGACAAGGTTGTTGTAAATGCTCAATGGAATGTTAATGGATACGGTAATATTGCATCAATAATACGGTAATATCGCATCAATAATACCGTAAAATGGGGTAACTTTGTCCACTTTTTTCTCAAAATGATGCCATTTTTTTACTAGATAAGTTAAACTTAAATTGAAACATTCAAAATACATGTCTATACTCTAGCTTTACTCACCATGAATTGCTGGCTCCTGCCTCTCATAGTTTTGATGTAACTTCAAAAAAGTGATGGTCTTTGTTACCCCAGCTCTTGGGGTAACTTAGACCGGGTGGTAAAATCAATTTTATTTTTTGGTAAAATAACTCCAAATAACTCCAGGTTGTGGTGCATTGTAGTAGAACTCTCCTAGTTACATATGCAAAAGACAAATTTTAGGAAAGTGTCATAGTTTAAAATGGGGGGCGCCGCCCCTGATGGGCAAAAAGTGACCACCTAATGGCAGCCGTGATGGGGTAACATTGACCGGTTTGGAAATTATGTAAAAATTACCATATATAAGACTCTGTAGAGTCTGGAAACATAAAGAAAAAAACATTAATAGGTGTATCAAACATAAAATATGTTATATAGGTACCTATGGTAATTTTAACTTAATTTCCAAGCTGGTCAATGTTACCCCTTCACGGCTGCCATTAGGTGGTCAAAGTTACCCCATTGGGGGGCAGCGCCCCCCATTTGCAAACTATGACACTTTCCTAAAATTTGTCTTTTGCATACCGGTATGTAACTAGAAGAGTTCTACTACAATGCATCAAAACCTGGAGTTATTTTACCAAAAAATAAAAAAATTGGAGGGGTACTCTGACAGGCTTTAAATAATAGCTCTTTTTCATGGGTCACATTATTAATTTTTTAATCTATTAGATATGCAAACTTTTTAAATCTTTCTATTGTGTTACATAGCCTCAGTATTAGGCCTTTGATGGCCATTGACAAAATTTTCCTATGTCAAACGGTTTATGAGTTCTGGGGGTTTTTGTTAAAAAAACGAAAAGTGGTCAACGTTGCCCCGCCGGTCAAAGTAACCCCATTTTACGGTACAGTAATTAATGTAAATGGTAATATATCAATAAAGGAAAAACAAGTTAAAATCACAGAAAATGTCATTTATTCTACATCTACATCATCTACAATGAAAGAGGAGGACTTCAGAATATGGTACTGTTAGTAATGGATGAGTACACTCTGCATGCTTCAAATGCTTTAAAATGAAGTTTTATTACAAGTGTCCTGAGGAGCCCCGTTCGATGGAGCTACTCAGGACACTCTTTTTTTTTGCTTCTGGCACCTTACAAATAGCATATAGAATTTTTTTGGAGAAGTCATGTGATAGCCCTTGCAAAGAGCTTTGAAATGAACCTAAACTTGTTTATGAAATGTTTCATGGTAAGAAGTTACAAATGAAAAATGTTCAAAATTTGTTTTTTCACTTTCGAAACATAATTCAGTGCGTAAAGGGCTAGTTACTCGTTAGCCTTCAACTGGTCAAGATCGCTGCCATATCTACTGCTCACTTTTATCAAACTACATAATTTTCCTTTCCTTTGCTATTTTTGAGGATTCATTATAATTATTCCCATATATTCTTAAGTTTGATTAGCGCGGTTTTGCTTAACACGGTTAAATTCGGGGATTTATTAACCGCGTTAATCAAGGGATTGCTGTACCGAATTTTTCTGGGAATGGGGTAATAAGGGATACTTGAAATAAAACTTGATTTTAAAATATTTGAAGCATGCAGAGTGTACTCATCCATTACTAACAGTATTCTGAAGTCCTCCTTTTCCTTTGTAGATGATGTAAATGTAGAATAAATGACACTTGCTGTGATTTTTACTTGTATTTTCTTTATTGATATGATATTACCTTATCCATATATTACCTATAGTAGGTATTATTGATGTGATATTACCATATCCATGGACATGCCATTGAGCATTGACCATGACCTTGTCTACTGCAAACTTCATATCAGTAACCATATAGCATTTCTTCTGTATCTGTAAGCTTACAGGACGGCTTCAAATTTTGCGCACAATTTTAATCGAGTCAAGTGATTTCACTGTAACAAAAAAGACATAAAAAACATACCTGAAACAGGAAGGAATATTTTAGTCACAACCATCATATTTTTTTTTTGGAGAAATAAATCATAGTTTAGGTTACTTACTTTTCATTCTTTGCTGCCCAGTGCTCAATTCTATCTATGATATTCTATGCACAATTTTGTGATGACTGATGATGCATTAATTTTTTGTCAAGTGAAATTTTTTTCACTGAGCAGTTAAATGTTATCAATATTTCTTGTTGTTAATTGATTTTTTTTGTTAACTGGAGAATTTGCGAACTAAGGTTCTACTGTAAATGCATTTTTAGGGGTGTCCCTTACTACCCCTGGGGGTGTCCCTTATTACTCCATTTTGCAGAAATGGCCGCCATTTTTTTGGAATGAGATATGCAAATTCTGTCAATCACGTTTTTAAGCCAACACCAGTGTGCAACTTTTACGTAAGTAAAACTTTCTTATACAACAAATATTTTTTTTGCTACAGACCTTAGTAGAGGCACCTGGCACTTTTCCAAAATCTCACTTTTCACACTTTTTTTCAGGGATTTTTTAGAGGTAATAAATGTATGATTTCTTAACTTGCTTTATGCTACATGGATAGTAAAATTTTAAACTTTTTGCACTACCATCAAACAGGGTAAAAAAGAACGGTTTTGAGCGTTTTTTGTTACTAACTTCTTACCATGAAACATTTCAGAAACGAGTTTGGGCTCATTTTAAAGCTCTTTGCAAGGGCTATTGAATGACATCTCCAAAAAATTTTATATGCTGTACGTGAGGCGCCAGACGCAAAATAAAAGCGTCCCAAATTACACCTGGGAATGGGGTAATCTGGGACACTTGCAATAAAACTCGATTTTAAAACATTTGAAGCATGCAGAGTGTACTCATCCATTACTAACAGTACTCTGAAGTCCTCCTCTTTCATTGTCTTTACAAAGCTAATGAATAGACTTATCAATAATTGTTTACCCAAAAATCCCTAAGTGGTAAACACCACCTTGGCCTGTTGGCCATTATTGGAGGCAATAAGTGCCCTTTTTAGCCATCCATTATGATCCATATACTGTTATTGTTAGTTGGCTAATTGCAACATAAAAAAACACCTCAAAAAGACAAAAAAGCTGAAAAAATCAAAAAAGTCAAATAAATAAAAAAAATCATGGAAAAATATAAAAAATCATTGATTTTTGATTTTTTTGATTTTTTAAAAAAATAAAAAAAATCGCCAACCCTGGTGACAACCATTATATGTTTTGGAGAAATAAATCATAGTTTAGGTCAATTACTTTTCATTCTATGTAGCATAAAGCAAGTTAAAAAATTCTACATTTACTGCCTGTGATGCGAAATGTGTGAAAAGTGAGAATTTGGAAAAGTACCTCTGCTAAGGTCTGTAGTAAAAAATATTTACCACATAAATAATTTTACTTAAATGAAAGTTGCACATAGGTGTTGGCTTAGAAATGTGATTGATGGAAGTTGCATTGCTCGTTCCAAAAAAAAAATGGCGGCAATTTCTGCATGTCAGGGCAACAAGAGACACCCCTCAAGGGGTAATAAGGGAGACCCCTAAAACTCATTTACAGTAGAACTTTGGTTAGCATTTATCTTGCTCAGCAAAAAAATTTCATTTGTGGAAAAATTAATGCATCATAGGTCATCACAAAAAAGTGCATTGAATGTCATAGATGGAATTGTACACTGGGCAACATAGAATGAAAAGTAATTAACTTAAACTATGATTTATTTCTACAATAAATATGATGGTTGTCACTAAAATATTCCCTTCTGTTTCAGGTAGTTTTTTTATGATATTTTTTTTTGTTATAGTGAATTAACTTGACTCAATTAAAATAGTGTGAAATTACAAGTCATCCTGTAAGCTTGTAGATACAGATGAAATGCTTTATGGCTGCTGATCTGAAGTTTGCAGTGGACAAGGTTGTTGTTGTAGTAGGACTCATAGGACTCTTGTATTGTTATCAGCATGTTGTGGGCCTGAGGGTGTTTGTTGCAAGGGGTTAGGAAAACAAGGAATTAGTGATGGGTCTCCACCTCCCCTACAACCATCCCAATCCACCTTTTTATTTGACATTTCATTGTTTTTATTTAACAATTTATTGAGCAGCAACACAACAAGAAGAACAATGTATGTACAGACAGAAGACAGAAGTGGACAGAAAAGAAAAAAAGAACCTGCGTAAATCTGAGGCATGGGGGTTTACTCAACCTCATGTAATTTTATGTACCAGTCTGTCTGTCTTTACCCAGTCTGAAAATTAAACATAGAATTAATATAATAAACCTAAGCAGTGCACTAAATCCAACCATAAAATTTCAATTACAACACAGGTATTTTAATGTGATTGTTAGTGAATTATTGTAGGCAGTATGCAGTCTACTTGTAATGTCTACATTGAAATTTAAACTCTTGCTTTAATTTTATACTTTGATTTCACATGTCTTTGCATCTCAGGAGAGGGGGGTTGCTGGACCCCTAGTAGGAAAATCCTACTTCCTTGCAGGATCATTGAAAGGGACTTCCCACAACATTGCCAATGCTCAATGGCATGTCTATGGATATATTAATATCACATCAATAATACAGTAATGTATGGATAAGGTAATAAATCAATAAAGGAAAAACAAGTAAAAATCACAGAAAATATCATTTATTCTACATCTACAACGGAAGAGGAGGACTTCAGAGTACTGTTAGTTATGAATGAGTACACTCTGCATGCTTCAAACGTTTTAAAATTTAGTTTTATTTCACGTGTCCCTTACTGCCCCATTTCCAGGGGTAATTTGGAAGCCTTTTATTTTGCATCTGACACCTTATGAATAGCACATGGAATTTTTTTTGAGATGCCATACAATAGCCCTTGCAAAGACCTTTAAAATGAAATGTTTCATGGGAAGAAGTTATTAACAAAATACCGGTACTCAAAACCATCCCTTATTATCTCATTTGACAGTATTAGTGCTACTCAATAAATAGCTGCATCAGATATTGGTGCTGCTCAATAAATAGCTTTATCAGTACACATGTGTGTCTTATTTCATTGATATTTTACACTCTTTGGGATGCCTGGTATCAAATGGATGCCTGGTATGGATAAGAACAAGAAAAAGTAGCCCATATCCAGCAGCAATATAATTTCGGGTTACTAAACTGGTCAGTTTAAATGACCATTTTAACCCTTATTGCAGAGATAGATTGCATGATTGTCATAATCATATCCATGCTTTACTTATGTAGATCCAAGCATGTATCCTTTTCCCGATGTGTATTATTCCAGGTTTGCTTTCTGGCATGTATGTATGTATATATGTTCCATTGTTTATGTTGACAACTGCAGTATGTAACTGTATTCCCTTGGGCTTTGTTCTCCCTCCAATAACAATCAATATTGCGGCCATTATGACGTGTCATCTCCATGCATAAAGAATATAAATGCAAGTAAATTTACCATAGTTTTATTAAAGCATTCTGGTAATGAGCATCATCACCAGTTCAAAAATTAAATAAAACAGCAATCAAGAATATATATCTAAATTCACTTGGAAATTTAGTCATCCATTCTATCTATTACAATTAGAAAATTAATAGATTGGTTTGTACACTATTTGAAGTTACACTGGTCAATTCATGTTTCAGTCTCTTTCATGTAAATTCTGTTGTCCATTTGATACTATGTTATTAAATTTATCAACTGATGATGAGTTTGTCACCAAAGAAATGAAAACACAATTTCCTTGACATTTTCCTCCACTTTCACAATGCCATCTGTCCCTTTTCATATAGTATATCTATATTTACTCAACCTTTCCAACTTTGAAGGGCAAACAAGCTCATAAACTTCCTGTGAAAAGTAATCCAAGAATGCAAGTTTAGAAATAATTTTAAACTAATACCGTAGTGTGTTAGTTATTTTCCATGCTTGAGTAATTTGTTGCTTATGGAAGAATTGATACTTGATTACTAGAATGCAAGTATTTGTATTCATAGTACCTACCAAAAGATGTATTTTTCTGTTTCATATCTGGTGTGATCTTGGTTGGCTTTTGTAGATTTCATGTTGATTAATTCTTTATATTTTGCTGCTAGTTTATGCCCCTGTGACCTGCCCTGAACGTGCTTGCTTGTTCGTTGTTTCTAGTGAAGGAGGAGAAGCGAGGAGCTCGAGGCAACCTTAAAACAGCACACCTCCAAGGTATGCTTAGGACTATGTCTTGTCAGCACTCAAGCATTACCTGCTTCACCCAAAATATAATCTGAGTTCTTGAGTGAAAGATTTGGTCAGTTAGTTTCTGGATGTCTGTACTGTGTTGATGCTGCATCTTTCCATGCTGTCATGGTGCAGCACTTGCTTATTGCAATATTTGGAATATCTTACTATTGGAACTTAGCTTACCGTATCTGTATTGAAGCATACCCTTTGTTTAAACCATGCATGTAATGAAGAAGGGACAAAGTGCTATGCACATATGCATAAGAATGATATGGAAGCTCTGCAGGAACTATGGCAGACATGAACTTCAGTTTACTTTGCCTGCAATCAATAAGGACTGGTATCCTTTTCTTAGTTATAAATTATTACCATGAATTGGAATGAGAACTTCTGCAGGTACCTTGAGTAGTTCTTAGTGCAGATATATTTAGGACTTCAGTTTTATCAAGATGAACATTTCAATTATTGTAGTTTGATTCCATTCTGCTCAGTTATGATTTTTAAATTTTCCTTTTAGACTAGAATGACTAATACACTTCCATTCATGCTTCAAAGAAGTTCATTTTGATGAATTGTGTTAAATTCCATGTATGCTAGGTCAATATTTTCCTAACACAAAGTATAATGTGCTCTTATCTATGAATACACCATCAAGGCAGCTAAGTTTTTATTTAATGTTCAATTAATTCATATGACAATGACATCACAGTAACTTGTACTAGTTTTTCTGGAGGTTGGTCTCTGTATTGGCTTATTTTGTCTTTTAAGTTCTCATGTTTTCAATAGTTTTTTTGTATTCTTCATTCAATGCTTTATCATGGCCCAGTTATTTTACCTGTGTTCCTTTCATGGTAATTATTATTCTTCTACCAATCCTTGCTTTTGAATAGAATAGTAATAGCTTATAACTTGATGCAAGATGCTCAGTCACATCTCTTAGGCCTGTGGTTTATTGCTTGTTTATTTTGCGTGTTCACTTGCTGCTGTCCGTGTGCTGTATGTTGCTTCCTGTTTCCCATACATGATTGAAAACTGTATCCTTGAAAGTTATATGATCACAATCATACCATTTTAATTATTGTTGTGTCCCCTGATCCTTACTAATCATGAGAATATATTTAGCATTAAAATTCTAAAGCATGTTGTACAGTATTTGATTACAGCTGAGCTGTACATTATTGTCATATGATTAATTTATTATTTTGTTTGTTTACTACTGTATTGTATAGTGCAGAATTTTAGCAGTGCCTTCATGTACAATTTTTATCTACTTGTGTTTCTCCTCTAATCCTTCTGACGGGATTGGAGAGGACATAATTGGGACATAATTTACCATTCCTGTAGGTATTTAATAAACAAAAATGTTAGCAATGTTAGTGTAAATCATCATTTCCTCAAGCCCTAATGGCTATTTTGTAGCTCTGATTTGCATTGAAAACCTTTCATGGGACGTGTGTACATATTTCTATCTTGATATGGTAGTTGAGCAGAGGTTGTTACTTTGTACATGTTATCTGAAGACCAGAAAAAGTTTTTTTTGGTGATAGGTAACTTCAAGAACTTGTGATTATTTTCTTCTTTGTTTGTTCTTTCAATGAGTCAAACAATGTTTCAGGTGGGAATAGACAGATTGGAAAGCAGAAACAAAATTCAATCGGCATACTTTTTCCATTGAAACTCTGATTGTAACATTAATCTTTGGAATACATAACTGATGTCTGCTGCAGATTCTGGCTGAAATTTTTAATGACTGTAACGAGTGTATGAAATATCGCTGAAATTGCATTTTTATGAGACCGTATATTAATGTCTTATTTTTTCACAGAATCTGACTTCAAGCTGATATACATTAAATATATATATCAGTATAGAAGCATTGTCTTGGCTTCTTTTGCCATTGATTTTCAATAATCATAAATTTTCAGTTAATGTAAGTACTGTTGCAGGGAGTGCTGCAGCACTGGCCGGGGACTTCAAGTCAGGCGGTGGCAGTGGTGGGGGCATGGGGAGCTCGCCAGGCTCTCCCTCACCCAGCAACCCGAAGAAGAAGCGCAGAACCAGCAACCCTCCCCCCTCTAGTCAGGGACCTCCCTCCACACCTCCCAGCAATGATCTCGTACCTCCTCCATTAACAGGTGACAACCCCACCCCAATTTTTTAAATGAATGTTAGAAGCTTGACGGGACTACCTTTATAAATGGAACAAACCTTGAGCAGCATTAATAAATAATAATTTTTTAGATAAAATCAAGTTCATTATTTTCTATGCATACACTGTTCAAGCAAATAAAATAGATGCAATGTTTTAACATTAGTAGTTAAACTGCTCATTAATTATATACATTTTACATTGGTGAGAGTTAAAATGAAATAATTCCATTAGTTGTGAAGCAACATGAAGATTCCCTGTCAGAATTTTGTGTGATCTGAATCAGTAATTATGTGCTGCAGAGAAACTTACAATAACTCAAGTATACTAAATGCTTTTAATTTTGTAATCTGATGCACTTGATACTTGAAGGCATCATTTTTAAATGATTGAGTTCACAAATAATTGAATATTAAGTGAAATGTATTTATTTAAGAGTATGACATGGTTTATGTTAATGTATTGCACATTTCATTCTCCATTGGAATGTGTCCATGACTAGAATGTTACATGTGCATCACACGTGCAAGTTTCTGTTCCGTGACTAGAATGTTACATGTGCATCAGACGTGCAAGTTTCTGTTCCATGACTAGAATGTTACATGTGCATCACTCGTGCAAGTTTGTTTCCATGACTAGAATGTTACATGTGCATCACACGTGCAAGTTTGTTTCCATGACTAGAATGTTACATGTGTATCACACGTGCAAGTTTGTTTCCATGACTAGAATGTTACATGTGTATCACATGTGCAAGTTTCTGTTGAAGTGAAAGAAAATTGTTTGTGCAGGCTATGGTGACACCATCGTGGCGTCCAACCCTTTTGATGACTCCCCCTGCATGCCATCCTCGTCAGGCATGCCGCCCATGCCCCCCATGAACATGTCATACATGCATAACATGGCCATGTCCAACATGAACATGAAGAGCATGTCAATGGGTCCTCATATGAATGGGCCCATGGGTGGGCCAATGAGTGGCCCAATGGGTGGTCCAATGGGGGGACCAATGGGGGGTCCCATGAGTGGGCCAATGGGGCCTGGTGGCCCAATGGGACCAGGGGGACCAATGGGACCTGGCGGGCCAATGGGTCCTGGCGGGCCAATGGGACCTGGGGGACCAATGGGCCCAGGCGGGCCAATGGGACCAGGAGGCCACATGAATGGTTCAATGGGTCCGCGTGGATCAATGAATGGGCCAATGGGAGGCCCCATGGGTCCTGGTGGCCCCATGAATGGGTCAATGAACAACCCAATGAATGGGCCTGGTAATGGTATGAACGGTTCTGGAATTGGCCCTGGCAATGGTATGAATGGTCCCGGCATGGGTCCTGGTATGAACGGTCCCGGTATGGGCCCAGGCGGCGGGATGAGCAATTCAATGAATGGTGGTATGAACGGTGGAATGAACATGAATGGAATGAATAGTATGAATTGCAGCATGTCTATGAACAGCGGGCCCATGAACAGCATGAGCCCCATGACCTCGATGGCGGGGATGAACGGCCCCATGTCCTGCTCCATGAGTGGCCCTGATGGGTCCATGAGTAATGGGCCCGTGCCCAATATGGGGCAGAAGCCCATGCCCGTCAGCTCTGGGAAGGTGAGCAAGACTCTTATACACACATTAATTTTGAAGTGAAATTTATTTTGCTGTGTATACAACTGCAAGTTCACTAACTATTAAACATTATAATTATTTTATGGCGATTCTTCTTTGATTTATAATATGTATGATACGGATTAGGGAAGAATATTTTGCTTTAAGGGGGAATTTGATCACATCCTGTTATCCTGCTATTAATTTTGTATCATTGGGCAGATTTATCCGTCAGACCAGCCGATGGTATTCAACCCCCAGAACCCTAACGCTCCTCCTATTTACCCTTGCGGAATTTGCCACAAGGAAGTGCATGACAACGACCAAGCCATCCTGTGCGAGTCTGGCTGTAACTTCTGGTTCCATAGGTAACTTAATTACTTAGCTACCTGGTTACTTAGCTCCATAAGTAGGTTACCATGACTCGTAAGTCTGTTACCAATCTGCATTTTTGGAATCATGATCGTCACCCGGACTCATAGTAAGCCAGTTATCTTGACTCTTAGCAATACCAGGACTTGGACTAAGCCAGTTACCCTGACTCTTAGCAATACCAGGAGTTGCACTAAGCCAGTTACCCTGACTCTTAGCAATACCAGGACTTGCACTAAGCCAGTTACCTTGAGTCTTAGCAATACCAGGACTTGCACCAAGCCAGTTACCCTGACACTTAGCAATACCATAACTCTTAGCAATACCAGGATTTGCACTAAGCCAGTTGCCAGGATCCCTCCCTAGGAAGCTGGTTTATGAAAGAGAATATTGCTATTATTAATTCAGCATATATTCAGCGAAGAAATCTTCTTAGTGGCAGGTATTGATGAGATGATATAATTGAAGCGCTTCTATTACTTGAGAACCTTTTGTGTCATTTAATAATGACGTTTCTTTGAAGCACATTTTCCATTGAATGTTTCGTGTTTATTCTAAAGTTTTTCTATTTGCTAATCTTCTATTATGTATTCAGAGTGTGCACAGGCCTGACAGAAAGCGCCTACCACCTTCTCACTGCTGAGGTCTACGCCGAGTGGGTGTGCGACAAATGTTTAAACTCCAAGAATATCCCGCTTGTCAAGTTCAAACCATAGCAACAAATGTTTATAACCAAACATAAGGCTTCCTGATGCTGCTGCTCTGCTTTGTGTTTGATTATAAACTGTTGTGTGTGGGCTCCGAGGCTCCCTTTAATGCCCTCACCTGATTATTGTTGTGTCAACGTCCGCTCTATATTTATTGAATATAGTGTTTTGTAAATAAGCTATCAAATTGTTTTGTAAATAAGAAGCCTCAACTAAGTGGTAGTGAACAAGTCGGATGCGCCATAATTTGTCTTGGTGTTACTGTAGTTAATTTCCGTTTCAATGATGTGCCTAATTGAAATGTAATTGTTCAACAATTCAGTATCAAATAAACAGAGCTTATTTACTTTGGTAACAAGTTCACTCTTCTGATTAGGGCCAGAAGCGATCTTCATTGCCCTTGTATCAACCTGGGTTTGCTACGAATGATTACATTTTAATATTTATGTAGTTTGGAAATAAAATGGCTTGCGTGTTTGTACTGTAAGTCGAATATAAATAGCAAGAGCGCGTTCTTTTGTTTGTACATTGCCGCAATTCGCTCTATATCTTCTTGTGCTGTCATTATTGTGTTCCGCTCTCAGCTCGTCGCGAGTCTGGTGTACAAATTATTTCAATTATTGCATTTCGTTTATTATTGTTTTTTAAGCGTTTAGTTTGATGTAACTTTAATTTAAAAATATGTTATTTTTAACTAGGCTCTAATTTGTCAAGGAATGTTGCGATATTTATTCACCATGTAGTTAGGTGACCATCCTGACAGCTAAATGAGGACTTTGTTGACTTCTTGACACTTTATTCAGTTTACAGGTCTGTGCGAGATTAGCAGTAAATTATCTGATGCCTGGCGCTCCTTGGTCTCCTGTTATTAATATTTATTTCCTGTTGATCCAATTAGTTTTGTGCATTTGATTTGTTTACCTGTGAATGGCTTCATTGAGTCAGCCTATGCCGAGTAGGGTAAATGGGACTACTTACCGCTGGATGGGTAACTCGATAGTACGTGCAGCTTGAAGGTTATGGGGGAACTACTTGCCGCTATAAAGGTTATTGGGGAACTACTGGCTGCTATAAAGGTTATGGGGGAACTACTTGCCGCTATAAAGGTTATTGGGGAACTACTTGCTGCTATAAAGGTTATGGGGGAACTACTTGCTGCTATAAAGGTTATGGGGGAACTGCTTGCTGCTATAAAGGTTATGGGGGAACTACTTGCTGCTATAAAGGTTATGGGGGAACTGCTTGCTGCTATAAAGGTTATGGGGAACTACTTGCTGCTATAAAGGTTATGGGGGAACTACTTGCTACTATAAAGGTTATGGGGGAACTAGGTACTTGTCGATGGATTTAAGTTAACCACTTACGTGAGCTCGCTTAATGCATAAAGGCGATGACGTCACGTCACTGTGACTCCTAGAGTCTAGGCGTTGTAAAGATAATCTCGAGCTACTTGTACATAGATTATATTTAAGATAATGTCGAGGCAGCTTTGTAAATATGGTTAACTATGTTTTTTTTATTCGCTTTTGGAACGTAGTGTATTTCAGTGCATTAATTCTTCTCGGTCGTTGAGATATTGTGAAGTAAATGTATAGAAGATGCTATGTAGTTTCCATTCCTCCTGAGGACGCAACAGCTTATCTGATAAAAACTTTTACGAGAGAGGAATCTGGAACCCGTGCTAGCTGCTCAACTGGCAACCCAACAGCAACCTTGGAGTTGCACGCACACTCATTCAGGCTTGAGTACAGGAAGGGCTTTTCTTAATATTCTTAGTAAGTTAGCGCTCAGATTTTAGATATTTATTAGTCGGTCACGAACTCTTGCCATGTGTGATGTTGACTCCTGCGTTCCAGGCATCAAATAATCGCGTTTTCTTAAAAGACGTCAAATGGTTGTCAACACAAAGTTGTATAAGATCGATTCAGCAGTGTACCGACAGATTTCACATTAATAATTCAGTGGATAGGTATGATCAATCATCGATCAAAGCAAATTGAAGTCTAGTCGCAGTTCGACGTAGGCACTGCAGTACTAATAAAATGTATAAAAAAATTTTTTAAAGACCACGTTTTTCATGTGGACTCAAAAGTAGAAAATAATTTTTCGGCAGCTACTGACCTCTGTTTGCTTTCATTCTCTTGGTCTTTTGTATTTCTTATCGATTGCAAGATTTGATCATCACAGACACGAAAGCGAGCTAAGAAAAACGTGGTAATAAAAGGCAGAACGGCTCTGTTCAGTCTTTTAGTTGAAGTTTTTGTGACATTCGGTCAGGGTTTTTGCTTTTAAATTTGAGACGTCGCTGAGTTACTTGGCTGAGTATACTTACACATGTTCATCTGAGGCATGAATAGAGATATTTAGTCTATTATTTGATTTATTTCGCATGACAATCGCATTTGGAACATTAATTCACAGCTGGCGAACTTGTGGAAAATATGCAGCTCCTGATGCATTTGGTAACGCTGCTATCCAGCGTCATGTGCAGCGAGATATCTAGCTCTTTGTTCATAAATGTGCCAGTGAATATCACAACTGTCCTCAACTTCCCGCATTCCCTGGTGTCCACATCGAAGGAATCGTCCGTGCGCTGCTCTAGCGGTCAGCTACAGCTCATTGCTCTACTGCTTCCTCGGCCTCGAGTGCCTGTTGGTGACTGGGCAGCTGAACCACGTGCGAGGTCCGCAGACGAACTCATGGCGTTGCAAAACTCCTGCCGGTGAGAACAATAGAAGAACTAAGAACAATTTTGGAAAATTGTTCACAAAAATAATGCAAGTTTTTTATGAGCTAAATTTCACTGTAAGATTGTTATCCGTGGTTGTTAGCGAAAAATATCACATTTCGTTAAGCCAAGCCTGCGAATTTACAATTTGGATCATATTGTCTCATGTGTCCTTGCTAGACAGATATTAGGCTGCAGAGCGCTATTCCCAGGACTGAGCGGAGTCTCTCTCCTCTACAATTTCTCTAGTAACGATTATGCTTTCTTCATGTACTCTAATTCATGTTAGCGGTACCAATCTAATTTTTCTAACCGTGCATGAAGTTAAAACTTAGTGATTTATGGTCATTATCGTTTGAAAACCTTTTTCAGGTGAAAGTTCAAGAAGATCTAAAAACGAGAAAATAGTAAGAATTAATGCAGTATGTAGGCCATTTAGTTCCTTAATTCTCATAAACGCTCCATATAAAGTTTTTCATGCCCTAAGTTTACTGATTTGTTATGGTTACAGGTCTACCACGCTACCATCTCAATTACAAAAGGATGGAAATTATATCTTAATCGAGCTGACAATTCAGAGCTGAGGTTTACCTGACCAATCGCGCAGTTGGTTTCGCGTCAGGGAAAGAGTTGAGGTGACGCATGGATCAAGTGTATTTAGTTAAGACAGACCGAATCGACACTTCAGCGAACTCCCCTGCGAACCCGCCTACGAACTAGAATGCAAAACCTAACTTCATTTTCAACTCAAACACTCATAAATCCGTCAATAATGAACGGATTTTATTCAAATTTGAAATATAAGTAGATAATATCAGTAATTTGTGGACGGAATTTTTTCAGATTTTTACATCAATAACTTTTTTATTAATACGGAAAACCTAACTTCATTTTCAACTCAAACACCCATAAATCCGTCAATAATGTACGGATTTTTTCAAATTTGAAATATAAGTAGATAATATCAGTAATTTGTGGACGGAATTTTTTCAAATTTTTACATTAATTACTTTTTTATTAATACGGAAAACCTAACTTCACGTTCACCTCGCAGGTTAGGTCCTAGTCAGGTCAAGTTTCTGTATTTTGTAGCATTAGAAAAAAGTTATTAATGTAAAAATCTGAAAAAATTCCTTCCACAAATTACTGATATTATCTACTTATATTTCAAATTTGAATAAAATCCATCCATTATTGACGAATTTATGGGTGTTTGAGTTGAAAATGAAGTTAGGTTTTCCGTATTAACCAAAAAGTTATTGATGTAAAAATCTGAAAAAATTCCGTCCACAAATTACTGATATTATCTACTTATATTTCAAATTTGAATAAAATCCCTTCATTATTGACGGATTTATGGGTGTTTGAGTTGAAAATGAAGTTAGGTTTTGCATTCGAGTTCGCAGGCCAGTTCGCACGCGAGTTCGCTGAAGTGTCGGACCGGTTAACGACAGGCCGTTTTCTAAAGATTTTTGATAGTCAAATAACATAACATAACATAGTGATGTCGGCGCTGAAGTGTAGGCCTGATGTGGCCTGTCGCCGATTCTTTTCCTTTTCGTGCCTTGTTCATAGATCTAAACTCGTGTCATTTGACCGGATATTTTCATGACTGGCGATAGTTTGAAGTAGCTACTAGACTTCTACGTTTCCAAACTCTAGACTCGGGCGTACGACGGCAACAAACAACTGCTTCATCGTTTCTGCATCTAGGAACTCGTATGAGCGTCTGATTAGTCCAAGAAATAATCTTATTAAAATGAATTCTAGAATGAAATTCAATATTGGGTCTTGTTTAAAGTAATTCATACGAGAACAACGCTATAAATAATACAAAACTTATAAGTTTCTAGAGGTAGGGTGGCCTAGTAGTTAAGAGTTCAGAGTACCAAGATAGGAGTAGAGAGGTGCGGGTTCGAACCCAGCTCTGTGTGACAGTTTATGGTCAGAATCGGAAAGGAGGCTGGGCGGTTAAGCAAAGCAGAATTGTAGCAGTGAGTTGCGAGTTCGATACCGCAAAATGCTGTGAATGTTCTGCGATGTTCAGAATCGGCGACAGACTTACGGCCTAATAAACGCTGAAACCGCTATTTTATTTTTATTCAACAGCAAAGTGAAAATAACTTCGCAGGCAGCCACCTGCCTCACACTTTTTGAGATTTTAATTTCTGACTGTAAAAATCTATCTACTGGAACAATGGTATGCACATTGTATAGTTTAGTTTAGCTAGCAATAAGGTGAAAAGGACCACAATCTTCCGTAATTACCATAAAACTTGTTGCTAGCTTCCTACACCGACGGCTGCACCTTGACAACGGCACCAGCATCAGCCTGTAAGCCAAGCACCAGAGGTTCTGTCCCAACGACTTGGTCTGTTCCCCTATAGGACTAATCCAGGGTGAGTTGCGCATCATAGCGTTAAAATAATATAACATCCAGGAAGGTATAAGTGGCAATAATCAGACGTAGGCGTTGGAACTGAGAATTGTCGTGGTTGGGAAAGTCAGCCTGGAGCTGACGATGACTAGTCAGTGATTGAGGTTGACCTTACACTAATTTTCATATTAAGTCTTAAATAATTTCTATATACAGGGTGGGGGAGAATCGATTGAGCAGTTTTGAGGAGAAATAAAAAAGTAATGGAGGTACATAAAGAAGAAAGTTTATTTTCCTCGAGGTTAGCATAACACCAATACGATGATACCATTAAGAATACTTATGTTTTGAAAACAATATCAGGAAGATGTGGCCGTTAGCTTCAACACACTGTTGGAGTCTTTCTGGGAGGAGGGAGTAACCGTGACCGTGAATTCCGAACACTATGCTGCAATGTTACAAAATTACTTGCAGCCCAGGTTGGAAAAGATTGTTGAAAATGAAGCATTGGGAGACGTGTGGTTCCAGCAGGATGGGGCCACAGCTCACGCAGCCCGAATGTCACTCAATGTTTTGAGACGCATGTTTCCCGGACGTCTGACGTGTCTCTGAGGGGTGATTTACAGTGGCCTGAAAGGTCACCTGATTTGAGCATTTGCAATTTCTTTCTTTGGGGACATCTAAAAGAAAGGGTGTTCAGAAGTCGCCCTCACACCCTACCACAGCTAAAGGGAACGGATTATTGCAGAGGTTATGGCCATACCTCGCCATATGTGTGAACGTGTTGTAGGAAACTTCCGAGAACGACTCCAACAGTGTGTTGCAGCTAACGGCCACCATCTTCCTGATATTATTTTCAAAACATAAGTATTCTAAATGGTATGTTATGCTAACCTCGAGGAAAATATACCTTCTTCTTTATGTACCTCCATTACTCTTTTATTTCGCATCAAAACTGCTCAATCGCTTCTGCCCCACCCTGTATATTTCAGAGCAGAATCATCTATTGGCATATGGCATAGAGATATCGATACATTGTTTACCAATATATTAGATATTGCAATCGACGATTGCTTTCTCTGTCATACTGTTTGTTAATGCACTAATTATAGTAACGTCCATGGATTATTTTAAGTCAATTTAGACAATACAACGACGTCGCACTGCGAGGTTGCGAGGTTGTATTTACGTACTGAACTCTCACTTTTATTATCATAATAATTCGTGATTAATACCCTCACAAAAGTAGGCAAGAAATACAGACACTTGTAACAGACTTCTAATACAAATTCATTTAGAATCAATAAAATGTTTAATTTCTTTGGGTATTTTGAGTATTCAAGAGTTCACCAAAAATGTTGAGAATGAATGTGCTCGCGCTTCTATAAATCCATTTCATCTCAGGAGCATACGATCTGCGGGCCTTCATCCAAAAAGTGAACGGCGTTTACATTCGGTAGGGGAATGGTCGACCGGCGGAAGCTGTCGAGTTTTCTCCAGGCTTTCCTGATGCAGTGGTGGGGAAAATGTGCGCTCGGTTCACCGGCGTCGATGACTACAAGTTACGTTACGACTTTTGTACTTACAAGCGACACGTCATCTGTCAGGCTGGTGGTAGTCTGCCTGCTTGCGGAGCGAGAAATATACCCAGTTCTAATGAAAGCCTAACAATAGCTTTTGGTATACACACTTCCGATGCATATAGATATCTTACCTTTGACCGAAAATGATAGCTCGAGACATGAAATTCACAACACAGGTTGCAGCGGCCGCTTATGTAGTCAAAGAAATTGCGGGATTCGTTTTGGCAATTTCCTGCACTCGTTAATTTCATTCTCTATTACATGTCAACACTTCTCGTTCTCCAAATCGAAGTGCTCCTCATTTTTTCCGCACAATACTCGAACACAATTTCGTCATTTGAATGCATTATTTCTAAGATTAAAGCAAGCATCACAAGAAATCGGCAGCGTTCTTCATGTGGCTTTAATTAGAGTGATAAACAGCATCGCAATTATCTAACCATAAGTGTGGTACTACGAGCATACCTGACGCACCCGCCTTTGTCAGACCATTAGAGGAGGTCATTTGAAATGCATAGCATTTGTCCGGTGTCAATCAGGCGTCTCATTCTCTTCATTATAATTAAAAAGTAATTTTCATTAGACGTGATAGAGATTGATGGAAACCTTTTTAGCTAAACCGATATATTTTAACTTAGAATTTCAATTAAATGATTTGTTTTAAAGATGAAACATACAATGAACGGTTCATTCTTAATAAGTTAAGAGCCGACTGTAGTCCTTAAAATGGTATTCCTTCGATTTTACTATCCTGTGAGGATAGTAGAATTCGTTGTCGAGTTTCCAATGAATAAAATATCAGCAGATGGTCGAGTGAAATGAAACGTTTGTGTTCAATGTTTTATTCAAACAGTGCAATAAATGACAAACGATTAAATTTCGCTTTTGTTTTCCTATGAACATAATATAAATTGGGTTTACATAAAATTTGTGAGTAGGGGCCACATTAAGAAGGGAAAATAATTAATTTCTTATTCTAGTTCATTACCTGATGCGTTATAGAGAAGCAAAATTGACACTAGATTCGGAAACTAAAAATTTACACATTGTTAATATATTATAATATATTTAAATATTTTGGGAGCATCTTATTCAATCGCAACAATTCTATGTTAGTATTAATATTTACAAATAAAGAAAAGGAGGAAAATTAACTTCGTGTGAAATAAATACATACACGCATGCTGTGCTGTGACTGTAAACAATGGTGGCTGAATGAATCTTGAATTTATTGTATAGGCAAACTAATAAATGAGCTACGTACAGGCCAGCAGTTCAAACGCCAAACGTTAAAATTTCTTTTCGACTCGAAGCAAATGTCTTGTTGATCTGTTACATTCCTGTCGTTAAATTATACTTTAGAAAACCTGCGCCTGTTCTCACTCGTCTGGCTTCATGAAAAGTTTCAAACTAGCTTCATCATTCAGCGCTGTTTCAATCAGCTGCCTTTCTCGGCTCAACAAATGAGCTTAGCTTCTGCCAGAATTAAGTTTTGATTTACGAGTTTGCTCAGCTATTCAAGTCGAAGATCTACTGTTTGCATTCTCTGGAATTAGTTGCTATATGTCCATCATGAGCAAATTTGTCCGTCCAATTAGAAGGTGTGCGCTCAAACATGTTGTGATTGAGCGCCTCGAGGCCATTGATCTTGTTTGAAAAATTCTGTGGTGAATTGCCACTCGATTGAGAGCAAACTGAACTTGTTTGACTCTGTAAGCATTGTTTTATTTTATTATTTAATTAGTTAAATTTAATTATTATTTTCGCCTATTCTGCAGCCTTTAGAAGAAATGTTTACCTTATCGTATTGCATAAATGATTTAAATTGCAGAAACCACTATGAGATGGTTGCGTTGATGGCCAGAAGGCATTTGCATTCAATAAGTTTTATCATTTAGGAAAAGTGCTGTTGAACAGGCTGAGGACCTCTCCCTCAGAATGAGATGAATGCGTTGATGGCCATTAGCATTCAATAAGTTTTAGCATTTAGGAAAAGTGCTATTGAACAGGCAGAGGACCTCTCTCTCTGAATGAGATGATTGCGTTGATGACCATTAGCATTCAATAAGTTTTAGCATTTAGGAAAAGTGCTGTTGAACAGGCAGAGGACCTCTCCCTCAGAATCACAGGGAAAGTTACGCAGCAAATAATCATCGGCGCCGTTTGCTCGGACGCAGGCGTTTGAGGCAGAGTCGCTGGGAGCATTTTTTGACCATTCAGGCGGCGTCATTTTTCGGTTGCTGGCACTCAGCTTCCAGGTGAACCCATCGCTAGCGTCCCGCACCACGTACATCCAGAAACTGTGACTTCCTAATGGATTCACACCAGAGGGAGAGAGAGAATGGTTCACAGCAATTAATGTCGAAAAAGATTAGTTCAATTACTTAATCAAGGATACAGGTAAATTGGAAATTCATACATCACTTCAGCGAAAAAATTAAATGCATTCGTTGAACACCGAACGATAACGATGTGTGCATATTAGCAAAAACATTAAATATTAAATCAACCATTTGAAACAAACTAAACAGAGCAACGTAAATTAGTGCATTTCCACGTAAAATACCTATTTAGTTCTCATGGCGATCAATTAGCGAGACACCTGTGAGATAATTTCAACTTTGAACCTAATTGTCGGATTTCAACTGAGGATAAGAGGAGGGTTCAGAGAATGATCCCAACCTATTTTATTTTTTTTCTGCTATGACTAACTTCTCAATATTAGTTTTCACCTGAATATAGGTCCTTGAGTTGTGATTGGAGTTTTTTAAAAGCCGCTGGATTTTTTGCAGAGAAGATTTCTGCGCCTCGCGACCTGCAGAACTTCTGCGCCTTGCAGAAGTTGACGGAAGGCGTCAGCTGAGTTAGGACGCAGCCGAGGCCGTCCAGATATGAGGAGCTTGGGCAGCACTCCATCGGTGAAGAGATTTCTGACATCGGGATGCCTTCACAACCGAAATGGGGAAAAAAGGTTAAATCTAAAAAATATTTATCATTTAAAATTTCTTAGAATTTGACTAATTTTTCTGTGAGTGTATTTGAAGCCTGAACAGGAAACAACTAGGGGCGTTTATTGTCTATATAGAGAATAGTCTAGTAGGACGACGGGATTCAGGAGACGGGATACTGGATTATGGGATTTGTTAGACGGGATTTCAAAATTACGAGATCCAAAGTTATCCGTCCTTGACAACGCAGTGCTATATAGGAAAATATCGGAAATAGTTTGGACATAGTTACTGTAATGTTCACACAAATCTTAGAAAGACTTCGGACAAACTTCAAGACAGAGTTCAGATAAAGTTTTGACGAAGGCCGGACTGTTGGAGCAAGTTTGGACAGAGTTCGGTTTGGAGCAAGTTCTGCCAGAGTTCGGTATTGGAGAAAAGTTCGGACAGAGTTCGGTATTGGAGCAAGTTCGGATAGAGTTCGGTATTGGAGCAAGTTCAGATAGAGTTCGGAATTGGAGCAAGTTCGGATAGAGTTCGGTATTGGAGCAAGTACGGGCAGAGTTCGGTATTGGAGCAAGTTGGGATAGAGTTCGGTATTGGAGCAAGTTCGGACAGAGTTCGGCATTGGAGCAAGTTCGGATGGAGTTCGTTATTAGAGCAAGTTCGGATAGAGTTCGGCATTGGAGCAAGTTCGGACAGAGTTCGGACTAAATCGAAATAGAGTCCGGATGACCTCGGACAAAACTCGGACAAGTCCTGGACAAGCTATGTCCAAACTTTCGACAAATGTGCAAAAATATCTTCAGAAATCTCCTTAAGCAATGTTTTTCAAGATCTGGATTACGGGATTTCTAAAATTATAGGGATTGCAATTATCGATCTCGGTCAATGCTGGGATTAACCTGGTATTTCTCAATTAACCTGTTAATCATTAATTGAACTTTTAATTATTAATAAGCCTGTTAATTATTACAAAACTTCTCCTTAACTTCACTTTTTGTTGTTTGTCTGCTACAAATCTTATAATCGATATTTAACACACTTCTACCTGTCCAATTGATCTAAAATTTTCTACACCTGCGTAAAGCCGGAGACAATGCATGAATCAATTTACAGAATAAATAGTTTAAGAAATAATATTTTTAATATGAAAAAGTTTTTGAATACAAAAAAGTAGAATAAATTCATTGTACATGTGTAACATCGAAGACACTGGCCTCTTTAGAAGTGTTGTCTTTAAAAAGTAATTTATAAATCCATATTATTAAATGTGTGGACAAATCCACACAGGAGGCTCTTACCAACTAATCCTCCAATGGAGCAAAGTTTGGCCTCAGGACAATCGTCGGTGACGGCGAACAGTTCAACTTTGGCTCCATCTTGCAGTGCGCATGAGCGCTCCTCTGAAATTAATACGATTGCATGATCAGTCTTCTGGAATTAATAAGTGAATTAATTGTAGGCTTTAGTTAGATTCAGTGACTTGTCCCACGTTTTTATTGCTGAAACGCGGGTAAAATACGGCTTATTCCGTAAAAAGCTGTGCGAACGACTTTTACTTTTATTCAAGCGAGTTAAGCCTAAATATGGTTTTATTGGCACGAGAGACGATTTTAAATGTAACAATAAACTCGATCATAAGGAGAATATCAAATATAAGGAAATATCTAGAGCAGCCTCGAGGGGCCTTCCTTCTGCAAGTTTTCCCAGATTTGCAATCCATGCTGAAAATTAGGTGGGTCGTAATAACAATGGAAATGATCGGGTCTTAATAAGCGATTAGTGCACGAGCTCTATGTCGGAGTAGTTATGATATGTAACCAAATAGTTCAACATGAAAACATATTTCATTATTTAAGTATTTTGCGTGAATTTAAGTATCTTCCGTGCAATACTTGCTGTTTCCACCAATCAACAATGAGTAGAGCAACAACCTGGCCCTGTATGCATGAGCACACCTTTGAAGTACTTGCATCTCCATTCCTGTGATCCGTCGCCGGGGCGCACTTGTTCAAGAGAGTCCAGCAGCACCAAGCACCGGGGCGCCTGGTAGCAGTAAAGCAACGTCGTGTTGCCGGCTAGAGCGGCTCCAGCACACTTTACTTCTCTCATCACAGAGATGTCCAGGTGCGACAAGGACAAGACTGTGCTCACGTTTACGTCTATTGGAGTCCACACGTTGTGCATTTTGGCGCCTTGGCTCCCCTCCTAAATATTATTCAAAAAGAACAAAGTTACTAGAAGCATCTTACATGAACTCCTGGAGAATAACTGGGAATGAAGATGAATTGACAATTCACGCCTTCGTTGCGTGCCCTTCTTTTCATACCAGTAAACGTTGACAATTCCTGAGCAAATGACCTGACATTTAGTACATGAATTTATCAACTTGGATACTGATTGCCTGATGACACACATTCGTAATGCTGATTTACATCAGACTAGGAGTAATTGAAATGCGTGACTATGTTTAATGTAAGAGAACACATACCGTTAATACAATTTTAGGTTGGACAAGATAGGAAATTGTCTATAAGCCTGCAATGAAGTTTCGAGATATGAAAATCTTGATGTTTTGAATCCGTGATAATTTTTTTACTCTTCGGCAATTTATATGAATGATTCTTATTAATTTAAAATTAATAGAAACACAAATGCAAATGAGAAATAGAAATTTCAGAAAGCTTGCCAGTTTAGAGAGCCGAGGTCATGAAGTCTTCTTTTTGCCCCAGAATTGTTAGTACAGGCACAAAAAAATAATCAAGCATGACGCAGACTTGAACGTCATTGGCGATTAAAGCTTACCTCGCTGTCGATAATGCCATATTATTTACGTACTACAGAGCACGGTATTCATCGTGCACATGTTCACTACGCACTACAGAGCACGGTATTGATTGTGTCATATAATATATTTTGCTATTAAACTGCTGCAAAATTCGGAATATGACGAAGTCTTGATGAGAGAACCGTGCGGTAGAGATGATAACTAATGCAAGTGATCATCTCGAAGTTTTGCAATTAATCCATAAATAAGCATGTCTGTTCACTATCTCGTTTAATCAGTTATTTCCACCAAACTTTTCGCCATACTGAACGTTTTTATTTTTAACGGAACCGTTTCAAAAACTTTCGTCGTGATCATAAATGCCAAGTTTCAGTCTGGAATTGATCTTATTAGGTTTACCAGTTGCTCGTCTGAAATTGTTATTAGTTACAAACTACTAATAAAATCAAAACCTAAAAATACGTAAAATTTGTTACATATTGTTGTTGTTGGAGCTCTTCTGCCGCTGCAAGGTAAAAGTCCACGGAACTTAGTGCCAGCATTTAAATTACTCGCAAGTGCCACTTCAAAATCTCTTGACCATCCACAATCAAAATTGATGAACTAGGATTTTTGTAAATTCATTATTAGATATATATTGTGCATTTTTTACAAATAACTATAATTATTTCATATTATTTTCAGCATGTGTTGGTACATGTAGCGTAATTAAGAGTTGTTCGTTACAGTTGCGCTGCTATCCGAACTGCAATTTGGTAGTATGCATCATTACAAATATTTTCGAGTGAAAGATATGTGACGCAACTGCAAATTGATTCGTATTAAAAATGGAATTCACCTATATTCTCACTTTATAATTCTTTTTACTATAATAAATGTCTAAAATTTCACCAGATTCTACTCAGATAGAGATTGGCCGATATTGTTATTTTTCGAACATTACTGATCCAAATAAACAAATAAACACAATATCATTTATAGCAGAAAACTTTTTAAGGCATCAAAAATGCGGCGCTCACCAACCCACACCTCGCTGCTCGTAAGACTCCAGTGTCAGTGATGGAAGTGCGGACAATGAGATCAGTTTTAAGGCGAGACAATCCACGGTAAATTACAAGCCGGGGTGAATTGCCGCGAATTCCTCGAAGGCCGCCGCTCAATAATGCATTACGAGCTAAAAGCATACGAGATAGCAGGGCATCGATCTTTAGATTTGTTAGACCTAATTGCTCGGTGCCTTCACTTCTTCAGAACTGATTGGCCATCATTGGGTCTGAATAAAGGGTAGGATCTTTATAGTTTTTAAATAGAATAGTTACCTTGCATGCCATTAGTATGCCACCTATATTACTAATTTCATCATTATCGCACTCGTGCTTGCCATTGTTATCATTCACACCATTATCATATGCAGTACCATCATTATGCTGCATGCCTTCATCATCCACGACATCATCATCTTACATATCATCAATATCGCACATGCCATCATCACCATATACACCATATTTATATTCAACACCATCATATGTTGCATACAAACCTTATTATGAACGACATCATCATCTTTGCATATCATCATTACCATAAATGCCAACGTCATCAGTCATAGGTACCACATTCTTATCGAATGCCAGCGTAATGTTTCATGCCGCAATCATCATGCATTACTTCATCATCATGCTCAATGCAGTAAATAAAGCCATAAATAAAGCAAGGACCAGCCCCATGCTGCCACGTTAAGTGAGACAGCAACCTCGCTTTACTGTATACCTACTGTATCAAGAAACGCGGCCAAACATTTACCTCATTCATCACTGAGATTGAAGATCTACAAAGTCGGTAATAAGCCGAGGTTCAAACGATACTTCACTTCATACGAGCTGAAAATAGTACGAAACTCTCAAATTAAAATTCACTGAACTATTCTGTGTACTATTCACTGAACTATTCTGTGTGTGTGTGTACCACGGTCATAGATCTATTGCCCAAGATTTATTTCGTACGTTCTAAACGCAATGTGTTTTCCGGGCAGTTAATTAAACGAATCAACACTCCAGCGGTCGCGCCGCGGCCGAGCCCGCTCGCGGAATACAATTTTCTATGTAGTCCATTATGTCGCATGTATATATGCATATTATTCAAAGTAAAAGTTTTGCTGGCTTCACTTTGTAAAATAGTTAGTTTTACACAGTGAAACCAGCGTTTCGAATAATTACATTCTTGATATGATTTGTTGGGTACTAATTACGGCCTCTATTTTCGTTGTGCTAAATTCAAATGGAGTATTTGTGTGATGGTTTAATGGATATATGAAACCTAATGTCATTGTTTTCGGTGTTGCACAATCTGAATATGAACGTGCTGCTGGAGTGCGATGTAGTAGCTAGATTTACCAGTCCTTGAAACTTCAAGTTAACCTAAATTATTTGGCATTACATATTTTTTCAGTTACGTGTACATTCCTTGTTGTGTGATCATGTCACTTGTTGAATTCTTATTTGACTGGATCCGCAGTTCTCTGTGCTCGCCCGCAGGCTTGTCACCGATCAAACGCAAAACACAATTTTTGCGCTTCCGAAGTTTTCCTTTCAAATAAAATAAAGTGTCAAAAAATTAGGTAAAGATTAAAATTTTTAACTTATTGCTGTTAGTTATGTTCCGAATTTCGTGCAAATTTGTTCAGAATTTAGTGACTTATGAGTGGCTCGGGTGCGCTTTAGAGCAGCCGGGTGCAGCTGTGGGGCTTGCATCCGATCAAATTTAATTATTGTTTGTCTTTGGCTCCGTCTCAGGGGTTTTTCATGCCAGGGCAACAAGAGTTATGCTAATAGGAACAAATTGAAATTAACTAGGGAGGCTTGATGTAATTGGTCGGTTAATGACAACAAATTAAAGTTTGCCAGTTTATTGTTAGCTCACGTGACCTGCTCGATGATGGTGACCACGGGACGAACTGGGAGACCAGGACACGCGGTGATGACGAGGGTATCAGGAGCACGTGGTGATGGCGAGGTGTCAGGAGCACGTGGTGATGACGAGGTGTCAGGAGCACGTGGTGATGACGAGGTGTCAGGAGCACGTGGCGATTTAAGGGTTATTTGCGGCAGTTTCTGTGTAAGTAACTAATTTGAAAAACGACTAAATTCACACGCAAGAAATCATTAAAGCTACTGAACTGTTGCAAAATTGCCAAGATTTTCCATTTTTTTGAAAACCAAACTTCATTTATACGAGTTATCGATAGCTTATAAAGAAATAAAAAATGAAAGACAAAAAGGGAAGGATAGCCTGCTCATCAATTCGAAATTAATATTCGAATTCGTATTTAATATTCGAACTCGAATTTAGTATCCAAATTCGAATTCGAATTTAATCTTCGAATTTAATATCCTAATCTAGTATTCAAATTCGAATTCGAATTGAATATCCGAATAATTCATTCACGCTAGCACTTAGTCAGATCTAAAGTTTGAAAAATTTCAACCTCATCTACATATAGTTAATGAGGTTGATGGCATGCTACGTGGAAGTTAGCATGCCATCACAGATACCTGGTGATCTTAAGATCTCGTTTTGTGCCCTCGACGGAAACTTTTCGAAAAATGCAAACTGGAATTGCGTGCCTAAAGCAGGTTCATTATTTCAATTTTTTTTCACCGCACTCTACATGCCAGAGAATGCACCATCGCCATGCACGTGTGAATTGTGACTGATAAATATGCATAATGTATAACTTAGATGCAATGCATACATGTTTTGAGGAATTAATAAAATCGATATTCGAGATTTTCGATTACATTATTAATTAAAATTTGACCATGTGGGAATAATTTTTCTAGCATAATAATGTAGCATAAACCTAAAATAATTGTACGTGATTATTTATAATGCCACAAAGGGCTATAAATAAAGTGAATGTCAACTCCTGAACCCACATTTAGTATATATTTATTTTTTTGCATAAACAGAAAACGGCTTAATAAATGGAGATAATTAATCATTCAATCAAATAAAATTTCAACCTAGTCGATTATGCAAAGGAAATGCAATCGTAGATCCAATCGAAATGTCGCGGAATAACTACTAATTCGATGCAATCGCCACAAGGGCGCATGCCGGAGGCCAGCTTTGCCCAACCTAAAACTTGGTTCATATTACCTTCCGTGGGTAAGCAAGCTAAAGGACATAGCAGCCTAGCTTTGCTTAAAACCATAATGCCAAATATCCACCGCCACCGCTTAAGCATGCTCGAATCAAGTTTCATCTAAATCAAGCATCTAAATCAAGCATTGCCATACTGCAATTTCTTCCTGCCCAACGTCTTCTGGCCTAACCTACGCAAGTTGCAACATTTCTTCACCCAAAACATAGCTGAGCGGACCTAAACTCAACTCATTGGGTACAGGAAATTAAAAGGCGGTTCAAGCGAGCTGGTGGAGCTATTCATTGGTTGCAATAAAGTTATAAACCATTGCAGCGTAAATA